CATTATTTCCAGCTCATATGTCCCTTTTTCAGCAATGCTTCGAATTCGATACAGTACTTCCCAGCTTGGTCCCAATTTACCAACATTAACATCTTGTGTTGATTGGAATACCTTTCAAAGGACTACGTCCCAGTTTTGAAGTGTCATAAATTCTCCCTTCGATTTTAGTACCTTTTTATTCCTTGCTTTTGAGTCGCCATTCGAATCAAAATTAATTACATTCATTCTTTTACCATGTCTAAATTTACTCCTAATGCCTCGTCATTCGATAACTCTGTTGTATGAGCAAATCACAAGCTTGACTCTTCTATCTCAACGGGGGTCAAAGCTTTGGTACCATAAATAAATAAGAGAGGAGTTTCTCCAGCACTTATTTTTGACTTAGTGCGATAAGCCCATAACACATTCGGTAACACTTTTGGCCACTTTCCTTTCACAACTTCCAAATATTTCTTTAAATTATTGATAATCACCTTGTTAGTTGACTCCGCTTTTCCATTGGCCCCAGGGTGATACGGTGATAAATTTATTCTCTTGATTTTCCAATTTTCAAGAAATTCAGTTATGCTTGATCCTATGAACCGAGGACCATTGTCACATGCGATTTTCTTCCGTACTCCAAGTTGGAAAATTATATTTTTTCAAATAAAATCTATTACTACTTCTTTTTCTCTAAGTTATTTGAAAACTCTTGCTTCCATCCATTTAGTAAAATAGTAAGTCAAAACCAATTAAAATTGTACATTTCCCGGTACTCGTGGTAGTGAACAAATAATATCAATTCCCCACTTCATAAATAGTCACATAGCAAACACAAAATATAGGGGTATGACACTTGTCGCACTTTTTTACAAAGTTTTCTACTTTCTTTTTCCATTCAAAACCAATAATATCCGGCTCTTATCAATGTTCTCATCTGAACCGAGGGTCTTTCGAAAACCGCCCCTCTACCGTCATAAGGTAGAGGTAGAGTATGCATACAATTTACCCTCCCCAAATCTCAGGTTTTTTGTTGTTGTTGTTGTTGTTGTTATTATCAATATTATCACCGATGATTTTCCACCTATTATTTGTACAATGCACTTTATGTATTTCTCTCATAAAATACTCAGTTTGTCCGGGTCCAAAGCATCTAGGTAAGTAATACGAGGCAGCTTGTGTTCGTAACCACTGTGATTATTTAGTTTCCTCGGGTAATATCCTGTTCTGCAAATAATTTACGAATTCATTTCGCTAATCCCAAATAAGGTTAGTAGAATTTACCTCATTTTTTACTCGATCGAATGATGAGTGAAATATATGCACAATTATTGTACTTTCAAAATTTGTAATATCCGATACTGATCCAAGATTGGCTAACGTACCCACTACTGCATTTTCTTCTCTTGAAATTTGAGTATCTTTTAATTCTCGAAAGTGAATTAATGGTTCTTTTGTTTTTTTCAAGTATTGTTTCATCTCTGTCTCTCGTGTTGCATAATTCTCCTGCATTTGATTTACCACAAACTTAGAATCACTCTTGATCTCGATTTTCTCGATACTCAGTTCTTTGGGATGTTCCAAACCTGCAATACATCCTCAAACTCGGCTTCGTTGTTAGTTACATGATAACATTTAATTTCTTGTCTAACAACTTCTCCTGAAGGTGAAATTAATATTATACTTAATTCAGCTCCATTATACTAGTGGATCCATCTGTGAATAAGGTCTAAGTCCCCATATTAGACCTCGGAGTAATATGCACTTCCTTTTACGCCTCGATAATGTATGATGTGTGGCTATAATTTCATAATTTCGTACATTATTTGCCTTGCATTTTACACACTTTAATGATAAATTATACTTTATTTACGCGTAATGGGATCTATTTTATGTGTAGATGAATTGAAGATGAAAGTAGAGCAAAAGAGATACTTAAACGTTGAAAGTGTGCTCGAGAATAGTGAAAAGGAGAAACCTGGCGAGGCCAGGCAAAGGTCAGCTTAACCAGGCGTTAGACCTGGCGAGGCCAGCTTAACCGAGCATTAGGCTGGTGCTGCAAGGCAAAGGCCAGCTTAACCAGGCGTTAGCCTGGTGACGACAGGCCTAGGGCGAGGTCCAGTCTGAGTTTTGAAGATTTATTTCGTCTCCTGGTTTGACTGGGACTTGACCTACACGTTTAGGTCTTTTCCTACACATATAAATAGACCTAAAATGCCACTTGGAGGAGGTTTTGGCGACCGGAGACAAGAGCATTACGTGGACAACTTTTGGAGGAGAAAATCATAGAGTTCTTCATCCCTTTATCTTTTCTTTATAATTTATTTATGCAAAATACTTGAAAAATTATTACTACGAACTTGAGTGGCTAAGCACTCTAGTTTCTAGGGTTGTGGTTGACATGATTATTAACGTTTATTAATTATATCTTCGTTAATTCGGATTATCATCTTCGTTAATTCGGATTATCATCTTGTGGTTGTTTCTTTAATTCTAGTTTTAATTTGTGAATTGTTGTAGCTACCAATTCACCCTACTATCTATGCTATGCTTGGGAAAGCCGTGTTTAGATTAGAGTAGAATTAGAGAGAGCTTGTTTCTGAACCCGTGGCTCGGGGAAAGATTTAGCGGTTAGGATAAGAATATACCTAACAGTCTTGCTTAATTAAATACCGTATTATATTCGTTCATGATAGACTCAATACCATAGGAATATATGATTGATATATTGTGGGCAGGCGAGTAGTATTGTGGGAATATGCTATTCATATAAACGATCCGGTTAATTAGTAACCATAGATAATCTGGATTAACGAGTGTGATTACTGAACTTAATAGGATTGATAAACCAACTGCAACCCTGGAATTTTTATCTCATCTGAAGTAAAATCTCGTCATACAAATTATCATTCTTGATAATTTAGTTGTTGTTTGTTTAATTTCCCCATTAGTAGATTAATAGAAAAATATCACTCTTAAATTTCTTGGACAATTAATTAATTTTAGTTTGCTTAGTTAACGATCAATCCAAGTCTTTGTGGGTTCGACGTCCGACTTTCGACTCACTTTATTACTTGACGACCACGTATACTTGCGCGTGTACTTGGGGAACCAACAAGTTTTTGGCGTCGTTGCCGGGGACTTAGTTATTGATTATTTAGTTAAGTTAAGCTTTTATTCGTTATTTGTTAAAGTTTTAATTTTTAGTTTGCTTTATTTGTGATAACGCAGGCTCTTCTCTTGAATGCGGAGGAGTAGAAGCGCAAACAATCTCCTTCCTCTTGATCCTGAAATCGAACGAACACTTCATAGAGTGAGGAGGGAAGTAGAAGCTAGAACTATAATTGAAAGAGAGTTGGACATCGTAGTTCAACCACAGCCAGCAGAGATGGCAGGTAATGAAGAGCGTCCGGTGATAGAAGCTGCAAGGCCCAATCTGGCTCTTATGACTCAGGCAATTATGAAGCCTGATATCATGGGTCACTTTGAACTCAAACAGTACATGGTACAGTTGATTCAGTCCACAGGGCAATATGTGGGTCTATCTCATGAAGACCCACAAAGATACATTCAGAATTTCCTGAAAATTACAGACACTTACAATTATCCGAACATTTCCAAGGACTATGTCAGGCTGATACTGTTTCCCTTTTCACTGCTAGGGGAAGCTAAGGAATGGTTACAAAAAGTGCCCGCGAACTCAATCCACAATTGGGATGATCTAGCAAGGAAATTCTTAATCAAGTTTTTTCCCACAAAGAAGACAAAGTCACTGAGGAGCCAGATTCTTGGGTTTCAACAACGAGATGGTGAGACTCTTCGACAAGCTTGAAAAAGAAACAAGAAGTTACTCTGAGACTGCCCACACCATTGTCAGACAGATGAGGTATTTGGTCACACTTTCGTTAATGTGTTGGACGAAGCATCAAAGATGAATCTTGACTCAGCATGTGAGGGTAGTTGCATGGCAAGACCGTATAGCGAGATCCAGATCCTGCTAAATAATTTCACTGCTAATGATAATAATTGCCAAGGAGATGGGGAACCACGAAGAGCACTTAAACAAAAGGCAACAGGTTTGATCGGGCTTGATGACTTCTCAGCAGATGAATAAAATGACAATGCACCAAGCACAACAGATGCAATATGTGCAACAGCTGTCTACTTGCTGCGAGTTATGTGGTGAAGGTCCATGAATCCTGAATCCATCTACTATGTGGGGCAATAAGCTAGAGGGCTGATGAATCAAAATGCTCAATATGGTAACACATACAATCCGAACTGGAGGAATAATCCTAACTTCTCTTGGGGTGGAAATCAGAATATCAGGCCTCACGAGAATTACAATAGTCCACCTCAACCCCCGAAGCAAGCAGAGAAGAGTTTAACTGACATGATGAAAAAGCTCTTGATAGACAATCAGCAATTGCGCACAGAATTCAAAAATCTAGAGAGGCAGTTTGGGCAAATGGCTAACAATCAGAATACTAGACCTGCTGGAGCTCTTCCAAGTGATACAGAGAGAAATCCTCAAGTAAATGCAGTGACGTTGAGAAATGGGAGAGAGTTAGTAGAAGTGCCTAAGAAGAAAAATGAGCAATTTGGGCTCGAAGAAGAAAGAGTGTCAAAACCTATAGAGGTAGATGAGAGAAACAAAACAGAGCCTGAGCAAAAATCAGAGAGGACGCCACTCCCTTTTCCTCAAAGACTGAGAAAGAAGAATGATGACCACATATTTCACAAATTCCTAGATATGTTGAAGCAGATACATTTGAACATCCCTTTGGTGGACATGCTCCGTGAGGTCCCAAAATATGCAAAATATATTAAGGACATAGTGGCAAATAAAAGGAGGTTAACTGAGTTTGAGACCGTAGCACTTACTGAGGAGTGCACTTCCAGGATTCAACATAAGCTTCCATAAAAGCTTAAGGATCCGGGGTAGTTTTACCATCCCTGTGAGGATTGGTGAATTTGATGTGGGTAGAGCCTCGTGTGATTTGGGTGCAAGTATCAATCTGATGTTGTTGTCAGTGTTCAAACAATCAGGGTTAGGAGCTCTGAGATATACCACGGTGAGGCTACAGTTAGCTGATAGATCTTATGTTTATCCTGAGGGGGTAATTGAGGACGTCTTACTGCAGATTGGGAAGTTGATTTTTCCTGCAGATTTTATCATCCTAGATTACGTGACAAATGAGTTGGTTCCTATCATCTTGGGACAGCCTCTTTTGGCAATTGGAGATGCAATTATCAAAGTCCGAGAGGGTAAGATGATCCTGCGGGTGGACAATGAAGAAGCAGTCTTCAATGTATATCGAGCCATTTAGATGCCTCGTCATTACGAGGACCTGACCATGATTTTGGTGGTCGAGATAAATGAACTAGTCGTAGAGCCAAGGGCGTTTAAATAAAATGCATTAGAAAAGGCATTGACATTGTTCAATCACTTGGAACGTGAAGAAGAGGTTGAGGAGATGTTGCACATTCTGGATGCATCGTGCGAATACATAAGAGAAAGAACCCAATTTGAGCCTCTGGATAGGCCAAATTGGGTGATTCAAGAGGCCATCTTGGGTGTACCCTCGCACGGATCATGTTGGGCTTATCAAATCTGACTTTAGGTATCATCTATGACCTAATTCGAGCTCGGACAACTACTCTATTTTTTTTCTTGTTTCGAAATTTAGTTACTTTTTCTCACAAGGTTTTGGAGATTGGTTTTGGGCGATTTTGGAGGAGGGTTTTACTACTTGGATTGGGGTAAATATGTTTTTCTCAGATTTGTTATTATTTCATGATTCCAACCTCGATTTTAGTGTTTGATTAATGATTTGAATTGGAGAAATTGAGGATTTTAGTAAAAACTTTCAAAATCGTAAATTGATAGTTTGAAGGCCGACTTGAGGTCGTACTTAAATGATTTTTATATGGTTAGACTCGTATCGGAATGGGTGTTCAGAATTTTTGAGTTTTATTGGGTTCCGAGGTGCAGTCCCAGGGTTGACTCTTTGCATTGACTTTTTAATTTTAGTTAAAGATCGAATCTTTATTATCCAAAATTATTTTTTATGGCTTTTATTTATGATATTAAGTTATTTTAAATAGATTCGAGTCGTACGGAAGTGAATTTGCACGGGAAAGGCTTATTAGTAGATTGATTTAGCTTGTTTGGTAAGTATCTTGCATAACTTTGTGTGGGTAAAATTACCCCTTAGGATTTGTGTTGATTTTACTATTTTAATTCTGCGGAAGACGTGTACACGGACTTATATGTGGTATTTTATTCGTTTACACTCTTAAACTCCTTTCATGTATTTAATTGAAGTTGTCATTTCATGTTATATCCTCTCTTTTTTAAGTTTGCGCTTACATGTTTTATTTGAAGTTGCTAGTACGTGTTCTATCTTTTATAGTCAATTTTACTCTAATATTCTTTCATTGTTAATTGCAATTACTTGTTGAATTCATGCCTTTAGCCGTTACATGCCTTAATCGTTAATTTTTTCTTTACAATCGTGTCTCTATTTATGAATGTCATCACTTTCTATTTGATTTTGTGAGCTATTATATAACTATTTTATCAATTTTGTGACTTTCTTTGTTAAGTTCCTTTATTGCGTTTCATTTTGTGATACATCATAGTTGTGTAATGACCCGGCCATTCGTTTTGAGAGTGGTAGCCCTGTTCCCCCTTTTACTGCTCACTTTATACTTTATAACTGTTATGTGACTTACTGGGGTAGTTGGTACGGGTTTGGAGATATTTCGAAATGAATTGAGACACTTAGTCTTAAGGTTGGAAGTTTAAGTTGAAGAGGTCGACCAAATGTTGACTTATGTGTGAACTACTCTAGAACGAAGGTTTAATGGTTCTGTTAGCTCCATTGGATGATTTTGGACTTAGGAGCGTGTCCGAATTGTGATTTGGAGGTCTATAGTTGAATTAGGCTTAAAATGGCGAAAGTTGGAAATTTGGAAGTTTGACCGAAAGTGGGCTTTGTGGTTACCGGACTCGAATTGGAGTTCCGGGAGTTAGAGTAGGTCCGTGGTATCATTTGTGACATGTGTGAAATATTTAGGGTCAATCGTACGTGATTTGATAGGTTTCGGCGTCGTTTGTAGAAGTTAGGATCCCTTAGTTGCAATAGGCTTGAATTGGAATGTGATTCATATTTTTGATGTTGTTTAATGTGATTTGAGGGCTCGACTAAGTTCAAATCATGTTTTAGGACTTGTTGGTATATTTGGTTGCGGTCCCGGGGGCCTCGGGTGGAGTTCGAATGGTTAACAGATCAAGATTTGGAATTTGAAAGATTGCTGAAGTGCACCAAGTCTGGTGCGATTGCACCTGCGGAGTTTTGACCACAGGTGCGAGCTCGCAGAAGCAACCTACAAAGAAATGGGCAGAGGTCGCTGGTGCGAGGTGATTTTTCGCACCTGCGATGCCACAAATACGGCTGGTTATGTGCAGGTGCGGAGCAGGGCTAGCCTGGGGCAGGGCGCAGGTGCGAGGGAGTAACTGCATCTACGAGCCCGAAGGTGTGAGCAAGGCTCCGCAGATACGGAGTTGAGAGGCGAAGTTTGTTCCGCATAAGCGGATGGTGGCCACAGAAGCACCTCCGCATGTGCGGTACCTGGAGCGCAGATGCGGGCCCTGGGGGTTTAAGTGATTTCCGCAGAAGCGGAGGATTAAACCGCAAAAGTGGTTCCACATGTGGGGTCATTTGGCTGCAGGTGCGAAAAGCCTGGGCAGTGTCTTATAAACGAGGGTTCCGAGATTTTTCACCATTTTAAACATTTCAAGCTAGGGATTTGGCGATTCTTGAGAGGATTTTCTACGGATTTCTTGAGGTAAGTCACTTGTGGTCTAATTTATTCAATAATTGTGTTTCCCTATTGATTTTCCCACCTAATCTGTGTGTATTTAAGGTGGAATTTGGGAGTTTGAGGCTAGGGATTTAGAGAGGGGGATTTGGGGATTTGTTTGGCGATTTGGTGTCGGATTTTGGGAAACTTGGTATGGTTGGACTCGTGGTTGGATGGGCTTTCGGGTTTTGTGACTTTTATCGGATTTCAATACGTGGGCCTGGGGGGATAGCTTTTGAGTCTACTTTTGACTTTTGACTAATAACTTAGTATTTCCTTATGGAATTAATTCCTTTAGCCCGTGTTGATTGTATCGCATTGTTTGTGCTAGATTCGAGGTGTTCGGAGGCCGTTTCGCAAGGCAAAGGTGTGTTGGAGTAGAGATTTGCCCGGATTGAGGTAAGTAACACTTCTAAAGTTGGCCCTCAGGGTTCGAAAGCCCGAATTATGTGTTATATGATTGGTGTTGAGGTGATGCACATGCCAAGTGACGGTTGTGTGGGCGCGCACCGTAAGAACTACGACCTGGTTGATTCCATGGAACTGTATAGTGGATTTATCTTGTTGATATCCGTGTTTTCATCATGTGATAAGTAATTGAGCTGCTACTCATGCTAGAAATCATGTTTAGGCTATATGCTGGTACTGTTGGAATTTCTTGTTGTCGACTTTTTGATTACATTGAAATTTCATACTCAGTCATATTCATTCATTGCATATCATATCTCAGTCTCCGTTGCTTTTTATTGATGTATCATATCATCATTTTTGGGCTAGTTTCACGACATCGTAAGCCCGAGAGAGAGAGAGAGAGAGACTAGAGAGATTGATGACTGAGTGAGGCCGAGGGCCTGATTGAGAGTGACAGTTATGGGATCGGGTTGCATGCTGCATCATATTTTATTGATTTATGCCTGGACTTGGCTTATTATAGCGCTTGGGATGAAGGAGCCCCTCCAGAGTCTGTACACACCCCAGTGAGCGCATTTGATTATATTGAGGGATGGATCTTCCCTAGACATGGATCTTGTCCGAATTATTTATATTTGGAGATAGATCTTCCACCGGACTGGACTGCCTTAAAAAGTACTGAGTGACTGACTGTCAGTTAATGTATATATATATATGGGATGGATCTTCCCTGGGCTGGATTGGCCATATACAATACTAAGTGATTGAGTATTCTGAGAGTGTGAGTACACAAGGCTTTCAGCGTGGTGCATCGCATATAACATGTGCATTGGCATGTCGATGTAGAGAGGTCATACTCCTCATATCATTCAGAATTGATCTATTTTACTTGAATTGAGTTTAACTGTTGAACTTGAAAGCATGTCTACATTTTTGTACTGTTATTTCTATATTGAACTGTACTAGCTGAGTTCGTCACTACCTTTCAATCCAAAGGTTAGATTTGTTACTTATTGAGTTGGTTGTACTTACTCTACACCCTGCACCTTGTGTGCAGATCTAGGTGCTTCTGGTCACGACGGCTGCTGAGTTGTGGAGTCTGGATTTTTAGAGATTATCGAGGTAGCTGCTTGGCGCTCGCAGAACTTGACTCTCCCTCCTTATCTTTCATTTTATGTTTCAGTTTATTACCTGGACGGTGTATTAGAATATGTCTTTATGTAGATACTCATGTACTCGGTGACCCCCCAGTTTTAGAAGAGATTTTGTTTTTAATTATGATTTTGTACTCTATTTTTAAAAAGGGTTTTCCTTAATTTTAACTGCTTTCGTATCCTTCAATGCTTTAGAGTGTTGGAAATGTCTGCGTAGTCGGCTTGCTTAGTACCATGTTAGGTGCCATCACGACATGTTGGTTTTGGGTCGTGACAAGTTAGTATCACAACCTAGGTTACATAGGTCTCAAGAGTCATGAGCAGGTTTAGTAGAGCCTTGCGGATCGGTACGCAAATGTCTGTACTTATCTTCGAGAGGCTACCAAACCCTTAGGAAACTTCACATTCTTATATTCTTGTCATGCAAATTTGTTGAATCCGGTCAATAAATATTTGTTGTTCTATTCTCCCAGCAGATGGTGCGGACACGTGCTACCAGATAGGACGACCAACCACTAGTACTGCCAGCTAGGGCCATGAGAGGCCGAGGTTGCGGTAGGGGCAGAGGTGCAACTCGTACATCAGTTAGAACAGCACCTGCAGATCTACAAGTTGCTCCAGCTCAGGAGCAGGTTCCGGATATGGTTGAGCCAGCGGGGCAAGCTCAGGCACCAGCTGTGCCCATTGTGATTCCAGGCCTTCATGAGGCTTTGGCCCAGATATTGACTGTTTGCACTAGCCTTGCTCAGGTGGTTTCGGATCAGACCACACCATCCACTTCTCAGGACGGGGGAGGTTCTCATACCCCCATCGCCGGTACTCCAGAGCAGGTGATGCAGGGAGTTCAGACACCTGGGGTACTACCAGCCCATCCGGTTGCAGTTGCTCAGGCCCAGGATGGTCCCGTTATGACTGATGATGTGCAGAGGAGACTTGAGAGGTTTGGGAGACTCCAGCCTCCATCATTTAGTGGGGCTGAGTTTGAGGATGCCCAAGACATTTTGGACAGGTGCCAGCGGATTCTTCGCACGACAGGTATTTTAGAGACCAGTGGGGTCTCATTCACTACTTTTCAGTTTACTGGGACTTCTTTTAGATGGTGGGAGGACTATGAGCGGCACAGGCCAGTCGGTGCAGCACCACTTACATGGCATGAGTTCTCCGTTCTCTTCTTGGAGAAGTTAATGCCATAGTCTCGGAGGGAGGAGCTGCGCAGACAGTTTGAGCAACTTTGTCAGGATGGCATGTCTATCACCCAGTACGAGATGAGGTTTTCGGAGTTGGCTCGTCAGGCAGTTTTGTTAGTTCCCACTGATTGGGAGAGGATTACGAGGTTCATTGATGCCCTCACGTATCAGCTGCGGTTTCTTATGACTAGGGAAAGGGTATCTGGTGTTACCTTCGATGAGGTGGTCGATATTTATCGGCATATGGAGATGGTCCGCAGTCAGGAGCGTGGAGAGAGGAAGGCCAAGAGGCCTCGTAGCTCAGGTGGTTTCAGCGGTGTTCCTTCTAGGGGTCAGTTCCACCACAGCAGGGGATGTCCTTATATGCACGCCCAGATGGCTCATCCAGTTCATCATGGTGAATCATCTAGCCATGGTTCACACAGTGCTCATCAGGGCCAGTCATCTCTCAGTGACCTTCCAGCTCAGAGTTTGTCTCGTGCACCATCAGTTCAGGGTTCATCTGTACTAGGTCCTTCTGATAGTTATTCTGGCTCTCGGGGTCCGCCTCAGTACTTACCACCATTTGCAGGGAGGGATTGCTTTGAGTGTGGAGATTTGGGTCACATAAAGAGACATTGTCCCCACCTTTCGGGAGGTCCAGCTCAGTAGAGGAGTTAGACTATGACTTCAGCACCAGTTATTTCACCACCAGCCTAGCTAGCTCAGGTGGGCCCTAGGTAGTTAGAGGTCGCCCTAGAGGGGGAGGACGATCAGGTGGCGGTTAGGCCCAATTTTATGCTATTCCTACCAGACCAAATGTTGTTTCTTCAGACAGTGATCACAGGTATTGTCTGGATATGCCCCGTGAATCAATAGTTTTATCTGTTCATGTATCTACTCCAGTGGGCGATACTATTGTTATGGACCATGTATATCGGTCGTGTGTAGTGACTATTGGGGGATTGGATACTAGAGTTGATCTCTTATTACTTAGTATGGTTGATTTCGACGTGATCTTGGGTATGGATTGGTTGTCTCCATATCATGATGTTCCGGATTGTCATGCTAAGACCGTGACATTGGCGATGTCGGGGTTGCCAAGGATTGAGTGGAGAGGTTCTCTAGACTATGTTCCCAGCAGAGTGATTTCATATTTGAAGGCCCAGCGGATGGTTGGGAAGGGTTTTTTGTTTTTATCTTAGTTGGCCTTTGTGAGGGATATTGGTGCTGGTACTCCTTCTATTGATTCTGTTCCGGTGGCACGAGATTTTTCGGATCTGTTTCCTGCAGACCTGTCGGGCATTTGAGAGTTGTGTTGCAGCTGTTGAGGAAAGAGAAACTTTATGCCAAGTTTTTCAAGTGTGAGTTGTGGCTTAGTTCGGTGGCATTCTTGGGGCACGTGGTGTATAGTGAGGGGATTCAGGTGGATCCCAAGAAGATTGAGGCGGTTCAGAGTTGTCCCAGACCATCCTCAGCTACAGAGATTTGGAGCTTTCTTGGCTTGGACGATTATTATCGTCGCTTCGTGGAGGGTTTCTCGTCTATTGCATCACCCTTGACCAAATTGACCCAAAAGGGTGCTACTTTCAGGTGGTCAGATGAGTGTGGGGAGAGCTTTCAGGAGCTCAAGACTGCCTTGACCATGACTCCAGTTCTAGTTTTGCCTTCAGCTTCAAGCTCTAATATAGTGTATTGTGATGCTGCTCAGATTGGTATTGGGTGTGTCTTGATATATGAGGGTAGAGTACTTGCTTATGCTTCACGTCCGTTGAAGCCCCATGAGAAGAACTACCATGTTCATGACTTGGAGTTGGGTGTCATCGTTCATGCATTGAAGATTTGGAGGCACTATCTTTATGATGTGTCTTGTGAGGTATTTACAGATCACCGGAGTCTCCAGCATTTGTTCAAATAAAAGGATCTAAATTTGAGGCAGCGGAGATGGTTAGAGCTGCTAAAGGACTATGATAT